TGCACAAGAAGTTGTGGCTCTCGTGTTATGGGCTGACATAAGTGGTTATCACAAATCAGTACAAGCAAGTCAACAACCATTGTCCAAGCAGAAGAAGTTTGCTTGTCATCAATTTTTTGAAGCTTGTGTAATTTTAACCATTTGTTAACCAAATCCAAAGAGATGCAGAATACGAAATATGAAGTAGTAATATGAAGTATGATGGAGTGTGAACTGTGAAGTAGTAGGAAAGAAGATATTTGGAGGAAGGTTATAGTAAGGAAGAGAAGTACTGGTAAAGAAAGTAGATACTAGATATTATACAGGATCACAAGAGTCTTGGAAGATGGGAGTTAAGAATGTAACTTGGCTTAGAGGAGCATATATAGCCCTTGAGCTCGAGCGAAGAAAATGGAGGGAGGAGGTCATAGTTGATGATCACTGAAAATGTAAGTTTGTCCATGTAAGTTACTCGGGTACTATATTCATATAAGGCTATCTTTGATAGAGAAGGTAGTACATTTTTGTCCCTAGGGTTGAGTTTTGGTCCAGTATTTAAGGGTCTGATATTTTGAGAGTGAAGGGGGGGAGGGTAAAGGATCTACACCATCAAAGTATCTCTAGTGGGGATTGAAACTCTAGTCTCAAGATGTAATGTTTCCCACTAAACCAAGCGTAGTTTAAGATACGTATATATTACTTGTAAGGTGTAATGTTTCGTTCTTATGTAATGTTAGCTTGGTTTAAGATACATATATATTACTCGTAACAGTCGTAACATTTATTGAGTACCTACTCAACACTTAATTTAATTTTTGTTTCCGAAACCACTGTGTGTTAAAAAAGAGCATAGGAAGAATGTGAAATGGCGCTAAAATAAATACCAACCATTTCCTACATACTCCCTCCATTAAAATAAAAAATAATAATAAAAAAAAAAAGCTAGAGTTGAGATTGCGCGGAGTTTAAAGAGGTTTAATAAAATAAAATATTAGTGTGGTAGATAAGGTAATAAAAAATCGTAAGAAAAGATGGTGAGTTTATTATTTTATTGAAAAGTAAAGAGGTGTAAGAGGAAGTAGGGACTATTAGAAGAGTGAGAAATAATAAAGTTAGAGAGAGTGGAGACCATTAGTGGGTAAAGATATTAAACTAAATTAGTGCCCGTAGTAATACTTTTTTTTTCATAATTAATTTGTAGTATAATATAAATATGAGGCAACTCATGTGGAATATATAAACAAATGCATATAAGAAAGGTGAAATAATAGGAAAAATTATTAAAACTACAATTGAGAAAAAAAAATGTTATTATTAATTAGTTGTGTTGAAAATATTTTGAAAATAGTGTATGTCCAAAATGATAGCTGGGCATATGTCCAAAATGATCGATGTAACCAAGACATGTTTCAGTAATAATTAATATTTTTTGAAGGGAAAAAAGTTATTAGTTGGTAAAATTATTACAAAAATATTTAAATGAAAACTAACTCAGTTATAACGTCGATTTCAAATCAACACCATGAATAGAAATGTTTTTTTTCCATTGAACTCCACTATTGTACTACTATATATATATATATATATATATATATATATATAATGGTAATTTAACTGTTTATATTGTATTTTTGGCTCCGTTATTTTTACTCTCCACCATATTTCTTCCTTCTAATTATATTATAGCTTATTCTACCTTAATTAAAAGGTCTCAAAATATTGTGTAACTATTTTTAAGTAAATAGAACACGAAATAAAAGTAATACAATTATTATAAAGATAATATATAAGATTAGGTATAATATTATTATATTTGTATTATACAACTATTCCTAAAATAAAAGATTTTTGTTAAAAAGGGAGGAGGAGTTACGGAGGTAAAAAACAGCACCAGGAAGTGACACGTGTCAATCCTGGTACCGGTGTTTGTGTTAGTATTATGTTATTGATTGATTGATTGTAAGGGAATTCCAAAAGAGGAAGTGTAGCTTTTAAAAAGAAATTGATGAAAATAGTAAGTGTAGCTTTGAAAAAAAAGCGGAGGGAGTACCGTTTGGAATTCATTCAATAAGAAAAAGAAAGCGTATAAAAGAAGATTTCACTTACTCATGCACATGTGTCAGCATCCTCTCACTTCAGTCGTTAAATTATGCACTTTTTAAGGGATTGAATTTTTAACCTAACTAGTTCAAAAACCCCGTGTTATTCACGGTTTTACAATAATATTTTACTATTTGTTTATTAGAAACTGTACAATACGAATCATTAGAAGTAAAAAACACATAAAAAAAGGTATATTAATAAACATTGTGATATACCATAAGATTAATCTCAATGTCTAAATTACTATACAATTAATGTGAGATGGAAGGATTAATAATATTTTAGTATTCGTAATATGAAAGCATACTCTTTTCTTGATTAGAAATTAAAGTACTGACTATTCATGTTATTCTTGTTGATAACAATAATAATAATAATAATAATAATAATACTTTTTGATAATATCCTAAATAGCATTTTATAATTTTATGTAGCATTTATTATTCTATACCACTATATTTTTTAATATTATTTAAATTATTATTGTTGGACATCATTCCCTAAATATAAGGCCAAAACTTCTCCATAACATATAGTAACAAACTTCTTTCAATAACAAAAAAACGAAAAACGAAAAAAAAAAAAAAAAAAAGTAAGAAAAATTGTTGGCGGGAAAATTTTTAATTTTATGAGGTGATGACACGTGTATTTAGGGAATAACTATTTGGATTACTTTAGTATATAAGTATAGATGGAGTATTTACAGGGGATAATTTTATGAGGTGTATTTACACGTGTTTTTAACTCACCTTTGGTGTTTTTGGACAAAAAAGTGAGTATAGGTTGCAAACGGTGAAAAAATAAGTTTCAGGTCCCTAAAGGTGAAAAAACTGAAATGTTAGACCCAGCATTTTCCCTAATTTCTCAACATGATTATCAACGAGTAGGACCCAGTTTATAACCTAGATAAACAAATTTTGTTTATCAAATGACATTTTAATAAATAAGTTACATTGAAATTTGTGCTCTTTGATTAAAAAAAATATACTACCTCCGTTTCTTATAACTCCCAACATTTACTAAAAACGGATGCTTCATACTCCTTCCCCCCACTATTATCTGCAACATTTACTATAAATGGGTGCTCTCTATTATCTGCAACAATTTTTTTTATTTCCTCTTTTGGTAAATTTTAGCAGTAAAATGTCAACTTTACCCTTACTTAAAATTTTTAACTTTGTTTACAATTTGTTAATTACACACAATTACATCCTAACTATCTAACCCCCCCCCCCCCTTAATGATTCCCACCAAAATATTACCTCCTCTCCTCCTGTCTCATCAGCAACCTTCCATCTCCCAACTACCACATTCAATGAACTTCATTGAATTGGCCTCGAAGATCGATGCTGCCCAGATTCATTCAACTTTTAAAGAATTCTCTAGAATTCTTTTCATCGCCTCCTCTCTCCCCTCTTCTCTCTCCTCTTCTCCGTCTGGTGTTCTTCCCATTTTCTCTGCGAAATAATTAAACCCTAACTCCAAATTTCTTCATCTCTCTCCAAAAAAATGAGTAACAACCAAGATATGAACAAGTCCCCTGAACGCCTCACCCCTGAGAGGCACATTGAGCCTTTGTTAACTCGGTACAAGTTGCAGCGAGGTACTGGGATCTTGAAACCAGTTCGTCGGTGCTCTTCCTCCTTTTCCAGATTCACCCATGGGAAAATAGGAGCGAAACTCGTTGAGTACACCGGGAGTGGTGAAGAAAATGAGGAGGGTGCTTCCTTATTCGTAGAGAAGAAGGAGGTTGTGGTGATTCCTGACTCCCCGGAGGGTTCGAGTACAAATCTACCAAAGAAGGGGGTGCAGAAGGAACCGGTGGTGGTTGTTGCAGTTCCTGACTCCCCGGAGGAGGTGACTGTGGTCTTCGCTGACCCTCCGACGGCTACGACCACCTCTGGCTCAGCCAATGGGAAGAAAAGGTCCAGATCTGTGTTCACCGATGACTACAGTCAGTGGGACCCTGATTACATGACCTATCTAAGGGACAAATACCCTCATGACTTCCCTCCCACAAACTGATCTTGCAGCGTAACTATTGCTAAACCCTAATTTTGATTTTAGTTGTTTCGATTTAGCTTTGCCTTGTGTAAATGGTTGTTGTTGGTGCATATCATTGTCGAAACGCATGTGAAATGTGTGCATGTGAGTCCCTACAATTGTTTGTTGCTTGATTATGATGCTTGATTGTGTTGTTTTGGAGGTTGGTTTATGCTTAGTTCTGTATATAACGCTTGCTTATGTTGGATGGTTGTTTGTGTACACTGTTGGTTTTTGATTATGTATACTTGGTTATATTATGGTGGATTGAAGTAGATGGATTATGTTGGATGGTCTGTGTTGGATTTGGTGGGTGCTTGTAGTGTTGGAATGGCCAAGGGAATGCATGATTGATGGATGATGGGTTATGTTGGATGGTTGTTTGTGTAGAGTCTCATTTGAATGTTGCCTAGTAGTGCTTGCAAGTCAGTGCCTGTGCCTTCGTGTATGAGTCCCCCATAAAGTTTGTTGTGTGAAAAAAATTCCAAATGATGAAGGGACTCACTTTGAGTTGGATGTGTAGGTTTTTTTTGCTCCAACAAGTGTCTTTTAACTCTTGTTGTTGAGGTAACAACCTACAACATGCCACTGAAACAAAAGCAAAATCCCTGATGGAATTCATTGTTCAATATTCATACTGATATTCATTCAATACACTTCAAAAACTTACATTTTCACATACCCTAAAACCTAATCATTCATTACATGACTGCCTGAAAATAGGAAATTTTATCTACCAAAATACACATAACCAAATCATTATAAGCATCAACAAAAAAAAAAAAAACAGTTGCTTACTGTTCACAAAAACCAGTTGTGAGTCCATATTTGGTTATGTGTGGAAGTCATGTTGTCATTGAATGATGGTGTTGTACCTAGTCTGCATCAACCTCTGTCTTCATGTAGTCTGCATTCTGTTGATTAGTTGGAATAAAAAGAGTGTTGAGGTGCTCAACTGCTTGTTGAATGAGTCCCCTTTCAACTTCCAAAAACTCGGGAAGAAGACCTAGGTTGTCCAACCTTTTCTTGCCCATATGAGGTGGATTGAAGTTGTTACCCTTCTTTCTCTAGAATTTTTTTCATTACTCCTTGCAAAGTGATCCATGAGTACTTGTTGAGTATTGGATCAAACCATTCATAAGCCTCATAGACTTTCTCTATTAATTCATCAATTTTTGTGGGAAATGACTGGTATTGCAAGGATTGAATGACCTTGAACAAACCAAGGTCCAGAACATTCAGATCTGGAGATTGTGCTAGCTGGAACACCATTTGGATGTTGAATCCATTTGTTGTACATGCTGCAATGAAGTCATCATCCCTTAGAATTTGATGTGGCTTAGCATTGTCCCATTGAATGTATATGTCCTTAGACAGACTAGGATGCCATTGCCTGTGTAGTGCTGGAATGATGTTGGTCATGAGCATTAGCCTAATTTTTTTTTTGGTCACACTTTGCACAGCCTTTGTCTCCATGACCCCTGCATCTCTGTTCTTGCTTTTCACTACAAGAAAACAGCTTGATTCTGACGGAAAAAGTTCGTTGAATACATCGAAAATTTCGTCGGAATCTGTCTGTCGCAAAACCCTTTGTAGGAAATTCGACCTTTTCCGACAGATTTATTTCTGTCGGCGCTTTTTTGACTTTAATTGAAATTCCGTCGCAATTTTTCGACGGAAATATCCGTCGGAGTTGGAGAGGTTTCCGACAGAAATTTCTATAGGAAGAGGTATATTCCGACGGAAATTTCCGTCGGAAAAGTCAATAAAAAAAAAAACAGCCCCACCCCTAACTCTTACCCCACCCGGATCCACCACTACCCACACCCCTGCTCACCACCCCAACCCACCCCACCGCCACCTCCTAACCCACCACCCCCACCCACCAGAATGTACCACCGTAACCCCAACCCACCACCACCACTTCCAACCCCTTTTCCCACACCACCCACCACCACCATTCCACTAATCCATTTTTCCGAATACAATTCGGAACAAAAAAACAAAAAAAAACCGAAAAATATTGAAAAAAAAACAGATCTATACAAATTGAAACTAAATACAGATTAGAATACAAATCGGAACAAAAAAATCGTATTCTATACAAATTGGGAGCAAACGAATCACCAACACTGAACTAGCAACCACACCACCCACCACAACCGTGTATATTAAAAAAATAATAATTAAATAACAAAATAAAATCAGAAAAAAAAGAAACATACCTTAATTCGACCACACAAAACCGCGAAATTGGGTTTACGAGGTCAAATTCGTCCATAAAAACTCTAGATCTAGAGTTTTCATGGTCGAATTTGACTTGAAAACCGTTGTTTTTGGAAAATTTGTTGTTGTTAGTGTCGGTATTAGTGGTTTTGGGTGAGAAGGAGGACGAGGAAGGACAAGGAGTTGTTGTTGGTGTCGGTGTTGGTGGTTTTGGGTGAGAAGGAGAATGAGAGGACGAGGAGGGAGAAGGAGTTGTTGTTGTTGGTGTCGGTTATGGTGGTTTTGGGTAAGAAGGAGAGGACGAGGAGGGAGAAGGATAGAGAAGAGACGAGGAGGGAGAAGGAGGACGAGGAGGGTGAAGGACAAAGAAGAGACGAGGAGGGAGAAGAGGAAAGAGAAGAGAGGAGGACAGAGGAAAGAGAAGAGAGGACGAAGAGGAAGGAGAAGAAAGTAGGAGAGGAGAGAGAAAGAGAAGGAGAAATGGGAAAGAAAGAGGCGCATTTCGTGTTTTAAGTTAGGGTTTCCTTTTTTTAAAAAAAATAAATTAGATTCTGACGGAATATTTCGTCGGAAATTTCCGATGGACTCCGTTGGAATATATGATATTTCTGACGGAATATTCCATCGGGAATTTCCGACGGATTTTAATTCCATCGGAAAATTAACTTTTCGACGGAATATTCCGTCGGAAATACCATATATTCCGACGGAAATTTCCGACGAATTTTTAAATTCTGTCGGAAATTTCCGACGGAAAAAAAAAATCGTCGAAATTTCTAATTTTTCCGACGAAAATACGCGTCTGTCGGAAACAGTCCGTCGAAAATCGGCCTATTTCCTGTAGTGTTTCTTCTTAGCCCTTTGTTGATAAGTGAATGAAAAAATTCCATACTTACCATCATGTAGCATATTGCCTCTTATGTCATAAAGGGGCTTACCAATCATCCCCATGAACATAGCCTTAATCTTGTATCTCTTGGACAGCTGACATCTGTATGGGTTTTCTTCCTTTGGTAAGAGGTAGAACCTCCTTGTTTCTGGGTTCATATAGAACCATTTTTCATCTATATGTATAACCTGTTGCATATCAATGAAAGTTGGATCTCCAACTGCTGGAATAGGGTGAATATGGGCTAATGCCCACTTGAGTCTAACCACTTTGTGATTTGACGTGAGTGCTGGATGGTTGGCGCTTGTATGTGTTCTTAATCTGCCCTTTTTCTTCAAGTTATGGAGATATCCATGTGAAACTTTTAGAGCAGCTGCATAACTCCTCTCTGTTGTCCTTTTGTATAAAGGCACTAATTGCAAGTACTCATCAGTAATAAGTCTTGGTTTGGGACCTGTTTTCCCCAATTTTTTGCTTCTGACATCAATGACATTCCCTTGTGCTATACTTTGCTTTACAAACTGCCAGACCCTCAGTAATGTGCTTCTGTGAATCCCATATTTTCTTGCCATTTGTGACAAACACCCTCTAGGTAGTTCCCCACCATGCATGTGCAGTAGGTAGTCATCAACCATTTGGCGTTTCTGCTGCACAGTTAATTGCTTTCTACTTGTTGGCTGTGCCTTTGCATGTTGTTCCTCTTCACTGCTGTCCCCCGTAGTTTCATCATCCATGTTGTCATCATCTGTGCTGTACTCAAATGGTCCCTCATTTAGCAGTTGGTCTATGTTAAAGAAATCTTGATCAAAGTGTGCTTCCATGTGCTGTGTGTCCCTTTTTCTTTGCTTTCGGTGATTTGAAGGAAGGTGATGAAGTTCTTGGCCGTTGTTGTTTTTTTGAAGTGGTGATGAAGCTGAACCCCGATGCTGCCCTTAGTTTAGGACTAATTGTAGTGTAGGCAGTACATATTTTGACTAAAAAAACTTGTAATTTATGGGGTTTTTTTAACAAACAATTCCCATGGTGGGTGTGGTATTTTATGATGGTGGACAATTAATGATGTATGCCTTCTATAGTAGGCACCTTATGTTTGAATTGGTTGTGAATTTTGGTATTTTTGTCAAATTTGAATTGTGGGTCAAAGTTTTGGTTTTGGTTTGGGAAAGAAATTGGATTTTCAGAATTTTGAAATGGGGAAACATTTCAGAAAAAAGGAGGGAACCAAATTTCAGAACATAAAAAAGGAGGGAACCAAATTCCCCTTCTTCACCCACCGAAAATCAGAAAAAGGGGGGAATAGTGGTCCCCTTTACACCTTTTACCCACTATCTTAAACCCACCAAAAAACAAAAATAAGTGGGACCACAAATTTTCCTCCATTTTTCCACTTAATTAAACCCACCCAACTTAATTAAAACCCACTAAAAGTTTTGCCTAGGAGTCTGCAATTATGTCCTTTGGTGCAGATAACTCAAGGCGGATAGAGTATTACTCGCAACATTTCCAAATCTTTCCATTTTTAGTAAAAATTTTTAGATGAAAATACAAAAACACCCTTATATAAAACTTTATAACCTCAATTATATACTTTAAATATAATTAATTAAAACTAGTCTAATTTAATTAAACTCATCTCATCTTTCTAAAATCATCAAATTAATCTACATTCATTTCTTCACCTTCTCCATAATCTTTCTTTCTCTTCATTCATCATCAAATTTCTTCATCTTCTTCCTCATCTCCATTATTTTTCTCTCTCCTCCGCCAACCCCATCCTCATAAATTGTTGAAGAAAACCACCCTTTCGTCGTGGGTTTTCCAAATCTAATGGTTTTCGTGGGTTCGGGTTTTGGGTTCGTGGGTTTTGGGGTTCTGGGTTCGAGTTTTGGGTTGTGGGTTTTAGGTTCGTGGGTAGTGAGTTTTGTGGTTCTTAGTTCGTGGGTTGTGGGTTATGGGGTTGTGGGTGGTGGTGGGTTTGGTTGTTCGTGCTGTTGGGTTGTGGTGGGTTCGGTGTTTCATGGCGCTGGGTGGTGGTGTTGATGGGTGGGTCGTGGGTTCGCGCTGCTAGGTGGTGGTGCTAGGTGGTTTCGTGGTACTAGGTGGTGATGGTGATAGGTGGTGGTGGTAGTTCGTGAATTTTGGTTTATTTATTTATTTATTTTTGGGTTGGATTAATATTTAAGTACATGCCCTTATTTTTCAATAACTATGCTTAAAATCTCTTGCCTAGGAATCCGCAAAACTCCTCTTTGTTGCGAGTAATAGAAAACGGAGGTAGTATATTTTTATTGTTTATGAGCCATTGTGGCAAGTTATACAAACTTTTGGAGTCAACACTCCTATTCATCATCTTCTTCCTCTTACCTTCTTCTCCTTCTTGTCCATCTTCTTCCTCTTATTCATATTTTTTCTTCCTATCCTCCTTAATCTTCTTCCTCCAATCTCTACCCATTTTTATTTTCTTTTTCAAGTCGGTTCGACCCCGCTAGCACCGCCATTCCTTTAAATGAAAACCTGAATAACCAAAAGGAGAAATTAATGGCATGGTTAACCCTAAAAGGTAGGTGAGTTTTCCTTCCTCTATTTAATTCAACTTAGTACCATCATTTTCGACAGGTTTGCCGCTAGAATTAAACAAAAACCCGAATAACAAAGTGGAAATCAAGGGCATGATTATCCATAAAGGTAGGTAAGCTTTTCCTCCATTGATTTTGGCTTATTGGATGTCGTAGTGAAGAGGCGAAGAGGTGTACTTTCCACCATTGAAATTGAAGGTTAAAGGAGGAGAGAGAAAACCGGGGAAGAGAGAGAAAGTAAGTTGATAAACTAACAACATTTAACTGAAGTTAGATGTAATTTACATAAATACCCTTTGATAAACATGAATTATTATCAAGGTTATAAATTAAACTTGTATTTTTTTAATTCTCAACATGAAAAAAATAGTAAATAATATCAAACTTATCAATATTTTATTGTTTTTTTTTTGTTGACTCACCTTCTTCGTCAGTCTTTTTCAACTTTCTTCATCATCCCTTCTTCAACCTTTCTCAACATCTATGGTGCGATGAACCCTAAAATAAACACCATGCCCAACACCACCAACACCACAACAAACCCCAATACCACCAAGCTCGAAATTAACAAAAAATCCTAAGAAATTATATAAATTAAGGGCATGGTTAACCCCTAAATAGTAGGTATTTTTCGTAAGTACGATTTCCCTCCATTGTTGAAGAATTCCTTGACGAATGCTCAAACTCCGTTGTTGAGCAGAGAAAACAATGAGTATGTGGGCTAACATAGTTAATATTCCATCTTGTTAAAATGACACAAATAACCCTGCTTGAAATGACACAAAAACCCCTTAAAAAATATACGATGCTTTTCGTGTTGAGAAATTTGTATTTTGTCAATAGGCCCCTTCTTATACTTAACTCCGTATTTCTGAGACAAAAGCTAAAAGAGAATTCTGTTCCCGCCAGCAAGTTCTTTCCAATTGCACACTCTCATGGAAAAATTGCCAAACTAAGCGTTTTTGGGAAACAATTTCCCAAACAAGACGCGTGGCAAAACTATTTACCAAACTAAGCTTCCAGAGTAAAACGCCAACCAGGATGGCGTTTTACCCTGGGCATTTTTTTTTTAATTTTTAGTAAAGGATAAAACGCCATCAAGGGTGGCGTTTTACTACTGGGCAATTTTTTTAAAAAAAACACATTTACACAAAAATGCTAACGCCGTTGGCGTTTTACCCTGAGTGATTTTTTTGAAAATAATTTACCCCCTTAAAGCGCCACCATGGTTGACGTTTTATCTCTGCACACAAATACAGCTACACAGCAACAGCAGCAACAACCACAAGAGCTGCAACAACAACAACAACAACCACAGGAGCTGCAACAACAACAGCAGCAACAACCACAACAACTACAACAACAACAACAACGACAACCCCAACACTCTAAAACGCCAACGACGTTAGCGCTTTTGTGTTAAAAGTAAAACGCCAACGGCGTTAGCGTTTTTGTGTAAATGTTTTTTTTTTAAAAAATTTGCCCAGCAGTAAAACGCCACCCTTGATGGCGTTTTACCTTTGACTAAAAATTAAAAAAAAAAATCGCCCAGGGTAAAACGCCACCCTGAAAGCTTAGTTTGGTAAATAGTTTTGCCACGCGTCTTGTTTGGGAAATTGTTTTCCAAAAACGCTCAGTTTGGCAATTTTTCCCACTCTCATCTTCCTCTTTGTAAACCCCTTCAATAAAACCCTCTTTCTCTCTCCTCTCTCTCTCTCTCTAACTTAAGCAGCACAGCACCAGCAGAACACAAAGCAGCGCCATTTCTATGTTAGCACTCCTCTCTCTCTCCTACATTTCATTTACTTTTTCTTTTTTTTTTTTTTCAAAATTTGTTTCATAATTTAGACATCAACGTCATAATTGTTTGCAATTTTTGCTTAATCTGAATTCGTAAATTGATTTCTAACTTAAACGGCTCTTTAGTTATGTTTGATTTGCTAACGAGTTCTTAATATTCAACTTTTTTTTTTTTTTTTTTTTTAATGCTAGTTAGGGCTTGTAATTTGCATTTTAATTACTTTTTAATTGCGTTAAATTTCAAGTAATTATAAAATGAATTGTTGAATTGAACAAATTTTTAAATTGATTAATTGGTAATGTTATTATGTCAGTTTGGATGGACTACCGATTACGTTTGTGGACTTGTGGTGTAAATTATGTTTGCTGTTGTGGCCGCCGGCCGGGCCGGGTATTCTTGTAGTTTTTCTGATAATGTTGATTTTGATAAACTTGAAAAAATTATGAAGGAAGAAGAAGCAAATTATAGCTCTTTATTTGAACCCTGAAGTAAAAAAACCGCGAACAGTTTAATTGTTCAACACTATTTTAGGCACCTGAAATTATTGTATTGTTTCGAGTTAGATCAAGTTGCTTCTGTCTATCTTAATGTTTGTTGTTTCCTTGTCTCAAGCTGACCTTGATGTCTGAGTTGTGAAATTAGTCCATTTGAAATTTCTTGATCAGGTGAACTTTTCGACCTGTGTGATGCGTGTAAATCATAAAATCAATTGAAAATATGATCAGAAACTGCATCTAGCTCGCCTTGCATCATGCATTAGTCCCTTTGCGGGTCTTATGCAGGAAGTTGGCACTTTACTGTATTATCAGAGTAGTGGTTGTAAATGATGGGTAATTTTTTTTTCAGGGAGGATGAAAAAGATACATTAAGAGTGCTTGTAGCAACAGATTGCCACCTAGGTTATATGGAGAAGGATGAGATACGGCGGCATGATTCATTCGAGTCTTTTGAGGAGATATGCTCAATAGCAGAGAAAAAGCAGGTGATTTCCGGTACTTACCAATTACTGTACTTTTATATTGAATTGTGTTAGAAATCAACACCCATCATTTCCTTTTGATGGAAGCTTGTAATTTGCCTGTCATATATTGTGGTGATGATGTGATTTACGCCAATTTTACTTCTCTCATGCTTCTAGAGGACCTAAGGCCCCGTTTGATTTGATGTAAAACATTTTCAATGAAAAATTAGTTTTCATGGAAAACATATTTTCAAGGAAAACCACACTTGCATATTTTCAAGGAAAACCACACTTGCAAGATAGTTTTCCTTTGTTTGGTTCTTACAAGAAAAGTTAAAGAGAAATTAAAAATAAGAGTGGAAATGTTGGGATGGATGAGAGGAACGTAAAAAAGAGATAAGGAGAAGGGAGGAAAATGTGGCTTCCCTTGTTTTGAAAAGGAAAATGTTTTCCACCATTATAAATGTAGTTTTCCACCCCTAT